TAGACCTTCGTCATCATCGACAACCCTTAGCATGATTGGTTTAGGTAGTAAATGTTGGAACACTGTGGAGACAGTTAGTGCCGTCTCTTGGGTGGATTTTGTTATCGCTATGGATGTACTGGTCGGGATAATCAGAATTAACTTTAATTGCCGTTATCGCTATGGATCTGCGTGTTTTGCAAACTAGTCGGGCTATTCAGAAGAATTAACCATAATTGTCGGATAATAGCAGTTTTAATACACCATATCTATATATTTTTCTAGGCATATGTGCTGCCGTAAGACCATGGACAAGGAAGCTAACGAGGTGACACAGTCACAGTAGTTAGTAGGGGTAGGGCTTAAGTTTAATAGTAGTTTAGGGTTTTTCTAATTATAAGTATATGTACCTCCATCAAATTCCTAGCTAATCCAATTAACTTTGGAATGATCGACAGCACAGCCAGTGGGTGTTCGTCTCGACTCTGTTTTATTCCATCTGAGAACACGGTACAATAAAAATCACGTATTTGGAGATACTCCACTGTTTAGGACGGAATGTACGGGATTCTGGTTTAGCATCGGGCCATAGCAAACGTCGAAAACATACTAATACGTAAAATGGAAACATTGAACGACATATATATACTCTGGTCCCTTCAACGTGTAACGGATATACTTACACAAATAGAACTGTCTTTGCACACTTGCGGTTAAAACATCTAAGACCACAACAATTTTGTGATTCGGAATTGATTGTCTTACTGATCATTTATACATGTACTCCCCTGTGGTATCATGAAAATTTAACGATTGATAATATCGCCATGGAGCAAACAAAACCACTAAGGACACACAATGGAATTTAAAAACTTTTGCCAAAACATACACAAAAGGAAAGAAAATCACATATTGTTGTAACCAGCATATTTACAGATATTTAACTGCCTTATGTATACTCCTCAGTCAAAACAAAAGACTACAGGAAAAGAAAAAAAGAATAAAAAGAAAAATCAAAAGGTAACACAAAGTAAGCTATCATATCAACTGGCATATTTACACAAATTAAACTTTTTTTGTTCTCAATTGTTAAAACATTTGAAACTTACTTTTCAAATTTCTTTGATACTAATCACCCAGATTTTCCTAAAATAAAACGGGAATTCACGATCATGAATACAAAATCGCCGTCGACACAGCAGTTACACATTGGTAAGAATCAAACTGAAACAATAACCATCAAATTCATAACATTTTTGCTAAAAACGAGAAACGAACACAAAGCAATATCTCATAGTAGCCAACGCTTTTACCGTGTTTACCTTACAAGAATATCAAATTTAACTTCATCAGACAAAAAACTATATTATTTAAAGGATAAATGTACTTTCGAACATCAAACTCTCTTTACATTTTACATATTTTACGATCACCTTCCAATAAGTATACATGTACAAGAAGGCACAGGACATTTATACGGTACTAACTACTTTGGTCTTAAATGTTTAAGATATCCATTGCAGTTTTTTAGGGCTTGGAAACCAGAATTTTCAAAGTCAAGAAGTCAATATTCTAGTCATTTATCCCCATAGTGAGTTGGATCCACACTATCCTAATGTATTTTGACCCTCATGGAGTAAAAATTCCAAACATTTTGACGGAAAACGATTACTGGTAGGACCTGGATTGATTCTTAGGGGTACCACATAGAAAATAGGGGTGATCTTGAGGCTTGTTTCTGCAGTTTTAAATGCCCAAAGTTTGAAATACTGATTCAAATATGCTAATGTGTGTCAATATCATAAAGATTGCCTTATTCAGAATATTTCTAGTTTTGCGGCCCTAAAATTGCATTGAATGCCTTAATAATTCCTATGTAATTCCTACATAATCACTGCACATAGACGCCCCCGAATAGCCCCATGGCTACACTATGTTCCTTGGCTTTTAGTCTCAGCTCGGCGATACTGGACGTTCGCCTGTCCGATTCCGGACTGGGGAAGAACTGTCCAGCTGACGTGGTCATGTGACTCGGGTACGTGTCCTCATTGGTTGTTGGTGGTGAGGCGGAGGTCAGGTAGGAGTGCGCCTGCGTGGCCACGCCCATGAAGCTGGCGGGGTTGGACTGGGGGGCCATGCAGGACGCGTTAGTCGTGGTGGTCCACTGGGCGGGCTGCGCCTGGAACAAGAGGCATATATTAGCATGATGAACATTGCAAAGGATAACAGATATATCAAGCATGCAGGAGGCGTTAGTGGTGGTGGTCCACTGGGCAGGCTGCGCCTGGGGACGATGTAAAAAAACAAAATGAATACCTTTGGATCTTGGCATCATTGCAAAGCTATTACAATTAGTATTCTTTTGTTGACCTGTATTTAACCATTATGTACGCATATGTACGATAAACGTCTGACCGTTTCCAAAATCACAGACAGTTGTTTGAGGAACTGTTTTTGGCAATAAAGGTCTTCGTTTATTAAATGGCATTTCATTATGATCTAATGGTATTTGGATAAGTCAAGGAGCTTCAAACAGAAGCTCATTGGATCTGTCAACCATTTGTTCGCCTAACTTGCACGCTACTAAGACGGGTTGCAGTCCACGACGGGGCGTTAAGCTGCATGGATCCACTGTTCATTAGACTTGATGAAAAGAGCTGGATCAATTTCCTGGCACTAGGAACTTGTACTTGCGCTGTACATTGCGTCTGTCTTCTCTGGTCTCAACTAGTGGATGAGTAGCTAAACTGTTCGTTGGTCTCATTAAGCTTAAACTGGTTCGAGATCACCTGATTATTTTCTAAACGTTTTATAAGGGGTTCTGTTACATCTCTGAATAATTTTATCAGGTTGCTGAATTACCAACCTGAATGATTGAGTGGCAAAGTTCTTTGTTCAGAACCACTTGTTTAACAAGAGCAGACATTTCGATGACCTTCTGTCAGCTTCATCAAGGCAATCTTCAAAGAGGAATTGCCCTGATGAGGACGTCCGATGGTCATCGAAACTGATAGCCTGGGTGCCATCCGATTTGAGACGGCAACGCCGATTTTTCAGGCTACCTAACTGAGGAGGCTGTGGTATAATTTCCTTGGGGGCGTGTTGGCCCTGGAGCAGAGGAGCTGGCCTATGTAGGTCCTGGGAAGAGTCTGGCACCCAGGCTATGTGTTGTCTTACTGAAACGTCTTGTAAGACGCCGTGTCTCGTCTTGACGCACCTGTGTGTACCCGTTCTGCCTCTGTCCCATGGTGATGTCGTACGGATCCGCGCCGAGCGCCACCTGGCGGATTCCGGCCATCTGCTGGAACCGCTCCTTCTTCCGCCACTTGGCGCGCCGGTTCTGGAACCACACCTGGACGGGCACACACGAAAGAACGATTTAATCACACAGATGTATATGACGTTGTCAACATGTCAAGTGTGATGGGATACATATAATAGCATTGAGGCAGTCCCATAAGGTAGAGCGTGGGTGCATGCGTGGATACCCTGGGAGCCAGACTAGTATCGGGCCGGTAGCCGTTTTCCTTCGGCAGCCAAGAGCCCTTTGCCCGCTTATCTAAATTACCGGCACGGAGGAGTTGAGCCCAGGAGAATTTGTCCGGCCCTAGAACTAGTGGGTTGAAGACAGTCGGGGCCAGGACTTGAGAGACAAAGGTTCGGTTGGCGTGTGTGCTAGGTTAGGAGACTTGGATTTAACAGTTTTGGAGACCGGAGCAGTCTCTACACACCTTCACGTCCTAAATGATATATCTTTTAATGACTGACTTGATATTAGCCTTTCTTTCGATTTCTTTTTTTTTTCTGTGACGCATTTCAGACATTTCTGGGACACACCCTGGGTGTCTTCCTATACAGTTTCCCAGCGGGGCTTCCGTCTTTGATGAGGGAGTGAGTATTCTGGAGACGGTCTGAACATTTTTAGCCGAACTCTTCTGTTTTGGGCCCGGTACATCTATCATCCCGCGGCATGACTATACTATGACTGACGTGCAGATTTTTCCCCCGGGTCCCCCCTCAGGTCCGACATGTGGCGGTGCGACATCGCGGTGCCACCAGTGACATGTTCCCCGCCCCTCCTGCCGAGACACCGCCGGGTATAGAGCCGCCGTGACCAAACCGGTTAACTCTCCGGGCAGATAGCAGAACTCTATCTTTTCTCACTGCAGATGTGGTACTGATAGCCTAGAACAACACACACAAACGCACGTACATACATACAGGCGAGCGCACGCTAGCCTGGCAATAGCCGCCGTGACCAAACCGGTTAACTCTTCGGGCAGATAGCAGAACTCTATCTCATCGCAGATGTGTTAAACTAGCACAACACAATGGAACAAACACACGCACGTACACACATGCATGCACGTACACAGACACATACACACACACACACACGTGAACGCGCCGCGCAAACACACACACACGCACACACACACACGCACACACACACACACACACGTGAACGCGCCGCACACACACACACACACACGCACACACACACGCACACACACACACACACACACACACACACACACACACACACACACACACACACAAAAACAAACACACATCGCGAAGCAAGCAAAAGGACTTGCAGCAACTAGTTGATAAGAGATAAGCGATTACGCGCCGACGGAGCGCTTTGGGGGTGTTAACTACCGAATCATGACTAAAACAGTACAAGCTTGAGAGATACCATGGTTTATAGAAGACGTTTTTCTTGTCATTTATCTACAAAACGTTTGATATTCAAAACCATTTGGCAACAAAAGTGGAAGTACAGTACACTATTAGACGCGAAGTTAATGAGACTTTCATGAGATTTCAAAGTCAAAACTACTTCAAAGCAAGTCTTGTTTTTATTTTACGCAACAGTTGGAGAAAATGGCTGTTTTCAGTGCACCCGATACAGCATTTAAACCGGGGAAGTAACAAGTGCAATTGGCGTGGCCACGGCGATGGCAAAAACACTTGGCGACCTCCGGGAAGTTGATAGCCTGGATGCCAGACCCATAGCATGACATAAGTTGATGCAATCCATAGCTTCCAAAACTAATGTTACATTACCCAATTCCAAGGACCCAATTCAAAACCAGATTCTTCAATATGCTCCTTACATGCCCTACTCAGATATCACTCAGTGTACGTTGGAAAATTTATGAGTCACTACAAAAGCGACGCCATATTGTAAATAACAGACATATCTCCTGAATTACAGAATGTATGATACTCTCGTTAAGAAAACACAATAGATCAGGTTTAGTATCACTATAGTTGAGCAATAAAGTTGATTGATTGATTGATTGATTGATTGATTGCTTAATATCACGCCAGCAATGGTAATCCTAGGACCGAGGAGCTGGCCTGTGTAAACCCTGGAAACAGTCTGGCGTCGGGTGCGGCAAACTGTTCTCTCCAGCGGACCAACTCTCCTGACATGCTATTTCTCCATTTGGCCGATTTCTACTCTTTCTTGCCGCCTCCCGAAGCCTGGTAGAGGCTAGCAATTTCTACTCTTTCCAGCCGCCTCCCGAAGCCTGATAGAGGCTACTCAGCAGTGGCAAAACACTTGGCAAAACACTTGGCGAAGTTGTTATTGAAATCTCCGGGAGCGCAGACAAACGGAAACGCCCCTGTGCTCCCGCCAGACGCGCCACTTCCCTCTCTTTGCGTTTGGTGGTGACCCCGAACGGCGGCGCGCCCCCCTCCCACCGCGCCTCCTCCAAACTTTCCCGCCCTTCGGACCGCACGACCGGGCCGCTGACGCCAGCGCAACGGGAGGGGGATTCCCGCACACATGGGCCCCGTCTGCGAGGGACGGGTAGCCGCTACCAGGCTTCGGGAGGCGACTGGAAAGAGTAGAAATAGGAAAAATAGAGAGATAACATGCCAGGGGAGTTTGGTCGAAGAGATAACAGTTTTTCGGGAGCGGCAAACTGTTCTATCCTCGACCAAACTCCCTTGACCTGCTCTCAAGCATCTCTCTCTGTTGGCCGGTTTCCACTCTTTCCAGCCGCCTCCCGAAACCTGGTAGAGGCTAATAATTGCCCAAATAGAGAGATAACACTGGCATGCCAGGGGAGTTGGTCCGCTAGAGAGTACAGTTTGCCTCACCCAATATGTACTGTGTTAGTGTAGCGGTACGAACCAACTCCCCTGGCATGTTATCTCTCTATTTGGCCAATTCCTACTCTTTTCACCCGCCACCCGAAGCCTGGTAGAGGCTATGCGCCTCCAACAACATCTTAGGACTGCAGCAACGTCTTGAAGTCGGGAGAAATCACGCACCTGCTTCTCAAGATGTCTCAGAATCATGCCCAGAACCTCCGAGGAGACTTCTCGCCAAGGTCACGCCCGGGACGCGTTGGGATAGGAAGAGGATATGTTTCTGTTGGAATTTTCCACCAGATTTTTCACATTCCCAAAACCCTGACGAACTATATTTTCAAAATAATAATAATAATAATAATATAAATACGCAAAAATTGTCGATAATATAATGCCTACAGGTAGAAATTCCTATTCCATTGTTACAATAAAATCATACGCAAAATTGTCTGCCTATAGGTAGAAATTCAAACCCACTTAAAAATCGTCAAACTCCTTAAAAAAAACGTCTTCGAATCTAATCGATCAACTTTCGATAGACGATTTCCGTGTCCTTGCTTCTGTCATAGAACGGACAACCCATGGATTGCAAAGTGTACTTCCATGACCCGCTAAAAATTACTATTCTTTAGTCATTTTGGCCAAATCTACGATTTTTCCGACAACCCATTGGAGTCTGGTATTGGAGTCTGCTACCTAGAAACTACGGAAACTCCACACGTATGACAGAAAAGGAATCTGTGACAGTCATCTCTGCCACCGCTCCAAACCCTTTTCCTGTTCCGACCGTGAAGTTGGCACGCGCCGTCACCACTGGACGGAATCCCGGGCACGGCAGGCGTGTACCGAAGTTTTGTTTCCAACTTCAAGGTTGCCGCTTTCGTCAACGTACGTCAAGGTTGGAACAAACATGGCGAACCGCACGCACACATACATCACATCATTGCGGATTTTATATCACAAGCCGAGGCTGGAGATCAAGGGAACAATGATATAGTCATATACACGTAGTAGCGATGTCACGTTTACTACTTTTCAAGGACTACAACCAACGTAGACAAAAGATGACATACAAGTACGTTATAATCATCTAGTTGATCAACTTAATAATAAAATAGAGTGTGACTGTCCATGATCATAAAAAAAAAATTATCCATATTAAACTGGGGCCGGTGGGAGCTAATCTGGAGCCATCTAGGATTTTGGGATGGTCCATGTTAAAATTGAGCACAAGGAATATTGCAGATCAGCTGATCTTCCCGTGGCTCCGTGACAACATGGTGCCTGTCTGTCAAGAACAGATCCAGAAGCAATTCTGCCAATTTGATACTTCCCTGCCAATATGATACTGTCTTGCCAATTAATCTTCAATAAATACTGTCTTTGCAGCCACCAAAAGATCTGCTGTGAGATCAGTTCCCGGCCCATCCCCTCGCTGTCCGCCTCGTGTCTTCCCGCCAGACGGGGGCAGATCAAAGCGGCGGGCCGGCCGGAGAGGAGAGGAGAAGTGCCGCGGAAGTGCCGCGTGAGCTGCGGGGGAGGCGGGCGGACGGGGCGGGAAATGGACTGCCCGACACCTCATCAACTTCACATCACGGCCTAGCCTTTATCAGGCTTCAGGAGGTGGACGGAACGGGCGGGAAATGGAGTCTCTGACAATTCATAGCTTTAATATAGCCTCTATCAGGCTTCGTGAGGAGGCTGAACACTTCATCAACATCACATCACGGCCTAGCCTCTACCAGGCTTCGGGAGGCGGCTGGACACCTCATCATCACATCACGGCCTAGCCTCTACCTACCCTGGATGCCAAACTAGTATCGGGCCGTTAGCCGTTTTCCTTCGGCAGCAAAGAGCCCTTCGCCCGCCTATCTAAATTACTGCTACGGGGGAGTTGAGCCCGAGGGGTTTGTCCAGCCAAAATCCCCCCACCCCCGCACCAGCGGGCGAAGGGCTCTTGCGGCCCGGAAAACGAGTTCTGGCTTCCAGGGTAAGCCTCTACCAGGCTTTGGATCCTCTACCAGGCTTCGGGAGGCGGCTGGAAAGAGTAGAAATTGGCAAGAAAAAAAGATAACATGCTGAAGGAGTTGGTCCGCTAGAGAGTACAGGTTATCTCTCTATTTGGCCAATTTCTACTCTTTTCAGCCGCCTCCCGAAGCCTGGTAGAGGCTAATCACGGATAGGGCGGGAAATAGACTTCTGACACCTCATCAACATCACATCACAGCCAGCGGGGGGCAG